AACAACAACAACAACAACAACAACAACAACAACAACAACAATATAGACCTTAATAGGTCTTTATAAAGGATTTGTGCAATGAGCATTGAATAATTAGAGCTGAAATAGTCCAAGGATTTTGATCATGACTTTCAGGTGAATCTTTCTTCTGCCAACACTGAGTGAGTCACAGACTGGTTTAAACCAGTCTTCATATCTACCAGGGAATCGTGGTACTGTTTGTTGTTGTTGTTAGATTTGTTCTTGGTTTTCTCTTGCACAAGCAGGGAATTCTGGTGGTGAGTTTCATAGAGTTGTACGCTGACCCAAACGTGGAGCCTTTGAATCCATCAATAGCCCTTTAGGAAAAAGATGGGTAATCCTGTCCTGTGTAATTTACAGTCTCTCCATAGCAGGTAATTGAAAAGACCATGGTCTGAATCATAGGTGAGTCAGCTATGAGTTGATTATGACTTCACAGCAAAGAACTTGCAACAGTAGTGGCACTGGAAACCAAGGGACAACAATTCCTAGTTCATCTTCAAAGCCAACCAGCTATGAAACCTTCAGCAAGTCATTCATTTCCCTGCCTTTGGTTGCTTCCACTATGAATTTAGGCCTAATAAAGTTGTCTTTTTCTGGAAGCAAGAAACACCTAGATCCCAAATATGACAGATCTTTGGCCAAACCAAAGCTTTCTTTTTTTGTTGTTGGTGGTGGTGTTAGGTGCCATCAAGTCAAGGATGAGTGATAGTGACCCTATGTACAACAGATCTGAGTCCTGTCATGTTCTGGGACATCCTCATCATCTCTGCTACACTTGTTCCCTTTGATGCTGCAACTGTGTCAGCTGACCTCATCAGACTTCTTGCTCTCTTTTGTTGACCCTCCACCTTTCCAAGCACAATATCACTTTTCAAGGAATAGCCTCTTTTAGCAACATGTCCAAAGAGATGAAGCTTCATCGTCCTTGTTTCCAAGGAGCATTCTGGTTGTACCTTTTCCAAGACATATCTGTTCTTTTGGCAGTCCATGAGATACTCAGTGCACTAGTGAACACTACAGCTAAAAGACACTTTTTCTTCTGTCATCCTTCTTCATTTTATAGCCCTTAGAAGCATAGCAGGTAATTGAAAAGACCATGGTCTGAATCAGGCTCATCTTAGTCTTCAAACTGACATCATTGCTCTTCAGTATTTTGGAGTGGTACCTGACAGAGGCCTTGTACAAAAGAATACACCTCTGATTTCCTGACTATAGGTACCAAGGGAGTTGACTATGGATCCAAGTAAGATGAAATCATTAATAGTTTTAATCCTTTCTTTGTCTATCATGACGTTACCTAGTGTCCAGTGGTAAGGGACTTTGTTTTCTTGATGTTGTGTGCAATCTATATGGAAAGGGGTTGTGTTTTATCCTCTGCAGCAAGCCTTTTAGTCATTCTCTCTTTCAGTCAGCAAGGTTGTGTCATCTGAATCAAGTTGTTGAAGAATCTTTCTCTGATCCTTATATCCCATTCTTCTTCATAGAGTCTGGTTTTACAAATTATTTGCTCAGCGTACAGATTAACTAGGTATAGAGAAAAGGTGTAACCCTGACACACAACACTACTTTAAACCATACAATGTTCCCTTGTTCTTCTGACACAATAGCTTCTTGATCTAGGTATAGGTTTCACAATTAAGTGTTCAAGATTCTCATTCTTCTTAATGTTAGCCATTATTTGTTGTGATCTGCATAATCAAATGTATTTGCATAGTCAATAAAGAACAGACAGACATTCTTCTGTTATTCTTGGCTTTGAGCCAGCATTTATCTCGCATCAGCAATGATATCCCTGATGCCATTACCACTTCCAAACCCAGCTTGAACTTCTGGCAGTTCCCTGTCAAAGTACCATTTCAACCATTTTTGGATGATCTTTGGCAACATTTTGTTTGCATGTGATATTAATGAAATTGTTCAATAAGTTCCATATAGTGTTGGACTACCCTTCTAGGGAAGGGGAACACATACAGATTTCTTCCAGTCAACTATCCTCCAAATATCCTAGCATAGACTGGTGAGCTACAGGGTTGTATCTATTAGCTGAAACATGTCATTCGGTAGTCTGTCTATTCCTGGGGCCTTATTATTTTTGCAAGCGCCTTTAGCATAGCTTGGACTTCTTCCTTTGTTACCATTGGCTCATGTTAATATGGTGCTTCCTGAAAATTTTCAGTGCAGGTTAATTCATTTTGGTAGAGTAGTTTTGTGTATGTCTTCCATGATTCAAGATTTTGCCCATGTCCTCTCTCAGTATCGCAGATTGAGTCTTGAATTTGTTTTCCAGAACTTTCAGTTAGAGAAATTCTGAGTGAGTTCTTCCTTATTTATTCTCTGACTTCAGCTTTTGGCACATTTCGTTTTAATTCTTTCTTAGTTCCAACTGAACAACATGGT